TTACTTCATCAAAAATGTAATTTCCTCTCGCAATACTTCATCAGATGATAACTGTGCGTGTGATTCACAAAGAGAGTGAAGAAACCAGCCCAATAACAAAACCCCAAACGAACCCACAACCTCAAAGTGAGGTGACACCACCTCCCTCATCCAGCTCTGTGGCTCTGCCCAGCACGTTCTGGATCTGATGTTAGGGCTGGTTTTACAAACCCCACGTCTTTGAGCCAATTATGGGTCAGAACAAGAATGGGAAAAGAAGATTAGCAGCACAGAGTCACACTAAATAGAGATTAACACAGAGCTGAAAAATGAAAGTCTCTGCTCTATTTGTCTAATCCTGGCTCTTGCCTGATCTAAGGAAATCCACTGTGTTAAACACACTTGGTACTGTATTTAGGAACCTTCAATCTTGCAATTACTACTTTTGCAATATTTTATTTTCATAAAGCTTGAAGCCTTTTTCCAAGCTACATCTTCCCCTCTGAGCATCACCTCTGTTTGCTGTTGATTGCAGTGACATCTATTGGAGAGGCAGTGTTTGGCTGCACGAGCTGCCTCCACTGAAGATCAACATTTTCAGGTGATCCCCCCCAAAATGAAGAGTAAAAATGCTTTTCCTTTGTTTCACCACAACTTTGCATAAACCAGACTCCAAACACACAGGAATGATGAGTGGGTTGGCTTTTATTTAGTCATTTGTTAATAATCCTGGCATTTTCCCAAAATGCTGATCACCACGTTGCCATCCTTGCCCACAGCAGGGCACAGACACTTCCAAGATCTGGTTTCTGCCCACCCCATGAACCTGACCATATCTTCCTCAAAGTCTCAACTGAACTCAATTTCCTTTTTTCCATCTATTATTTTTAATGAAAGCCACTCTGCTCTCGCTGATCACAGACATCACAGGCACCTGGATGCTGCTACAAAGCTCAGGTGTGTTAAGAGTTGCCCAATCCCAACCCTCCTGCACCCACAGATTTATCACAACGGGGAATCACAGAACCATGGAATGGTTTGGGTTGGAAGGAACCTCAAGGCTCATCCAGCCTGGCTTTGGACACTTCCAGGGATGGGGAATCCATAACTTCTCCATGCCAGGGCCTCCCCACCCTCTGAGTCAAGAAAGTCAAAATACCAGAGAAGTTTTAAGATCTCTTGTTTTAGCAGAGAAACCACTGTTCCTCAAAAAGCATCTTAGGAAGACAAATCATTATGCTTTCTTACAGCTTCATTGATTTCTACATTATCTAGAGACAAAATAAGAGGAAGGGGGCATTATTATCCCCTTATTACAGTTAAATATCCCTGCAGACAGGAAGTCTGAGCACAGCAGTAGTTTAGTCCATTATCCAAGCCACCTTCCACAAATTTTTTATTGCCATCTATTTTTATTATTTTAGACTTATTTGAAACCAACCAGATCGATCTCAGTCAACTAACTGACAAAAGATTCCATTAAAAATGTAACAGCAATTGAAATTAAGGATTTCAAGTTCTTTCAACAGTTGTCCTTTCCATTTTTCGAGAATGGTTTTTCAGCTCTCTCCTATCTAATTTATGTTTGCTGCAACTCGGTCACGAAAGCATATCCAAATTGTACAGCCAGGAATTCCCCCAAGGAAAACCTCACGAAACATTCCATTACAAACTGCTCTGCCCATCCATTTCCTCTGCTTCTTTTTACTACCAACCCCTCATTATGGCAATAAGCCACCACGGGGTGCACACAAGTCCATCAGCAGGTTCTTGGAGCACACCTCCTGCCATCCCCCACTCCAGGAAAACACACCAGTGCCTACTGCTGCCTGCAGCACAGCTGCTCACAAGCACAAACAGCTCCTTTGTGTGCTCTCCCCTCCTTTTACTTGTTTTGATTTAAAAAAAAAAATAAAAAAAAAAATCCCATTCACAACCCGGTGTTTTACAGATTTGGGAAGCCTAAAACAAAAAAAAAACCCTCCCTCTCCAAAAGAGGCACTGCCACAGGCAAGTGTGGGAAGGGGAAACTCCAAACTTGTGTTTGTTAAGTTTCAGGACTGGAGGATGAAGCATTTTGAAAGCTCCTTTTGCAGCAGGATGGACACACTGCAAGTTGTGCAGAACTGTTTCCACGCATAAACTGAAAGCCTTGGAACAGCAACCTCAAAGCAAAGAGAAAACAAAACCCACACACAGGGTTAGAGCTGGTACAGAGAAAGATTTGGCAGTGTCACTGGAGAAGAAGAAATAAAACAAGAGGAAATACAACTTTCAACTTGCCCTCAAAGTCTAGGAAAAGCTATCTGAGAATTTAGGAAATGATGTGGGAAGTATCAGAGGCATGAAACAAAGGAAAAGCAGATCTGAAACCAAAGGGTCTTGGGTGCAGGAGTCACATTTGAAAAAACAAAAACCAAGTAACAAAATACCTGGAGCTTTAAACTTCTTAAACCACAGAAACATGGAGGATAAGTCTGGAGTTTTTCTGAAACAAAAAGTACCTCACAGTTCTATTCTCAACAAGGATTTGCCCTCTTTGGATCAAAACCAGCCCTTGGATAGAAAAGGAAGAACATGTACAAGAAATGTCTGTTTGTTCCTGCAGGTCAGCAATGAGAGCTACAGTTTCAGCAGTGGGAAAGCAGAAATAAAAGAGCATTGCCAAAAGGCAAGTGGGTTTAGATTTTAAGGGAAATTAATCAACACCAAGAGGTTATTCAGTCACTTTAAGGGGAAAACTGACAAAACATGGAGACTCTGAGGCAATATGGATGGGGCAGAAAGGAAAGAAAAATTCTCAAATATGGCAGGAAGACTAACAATGCTCTGCTTTTTCAGTCTGGGAATGATGGAGGATGTGGAGACAAAATATGAGAAGGAGGGTTGAAAGAAGTGATATGCAAGGACAAAAAATGTCAAGCAGAGCAAATAAAATATTTCTGGAGTTTGAAAGAAATTGATGAGCTGGTCCCAGACACTGCAGCTGTGTTAATAAGAATGCTAAAAAACAAAGTAAAATCCATCAGGAGCAAAACAAGAGGACAGATTTAACAGCTGTCCCACCTCAAAATGCCCTCTAAAGCTTTCCATGCTATGACAGAGACTGAGAACTACAGGAAGCAAATAAAGGAGAGGTTAATTATGTGAATTTACCTGGGTTGACAGCACATCCTCCTTTTGGATTTCTTATCGTCTAAATAAGGAAGACAATAAATCCAGCTCACCTGTTGATATAGTTTTAGTTAAGGTTCCAAACCCAGCAGAATTAGTTGGATAAGTGGGTAAGGAGCAGAGCAGTATGAACATACAAATGGGCAGTTAAGAAAGACAAATTCTTGTCTGGTCTGGGGTTTCTGGGAAGAACCAAGACAGAAGTTCTGAGCATCAAGGAGTTCACAGAAACAATAATGTGCTGGAATTTTCAGAGACAACTTTGTTTTTCAAGTGACCACAGAACAGGGACTTTGTAAAAGCCCATTCCACAGCTGCCAAGATGCTTAATGTCATTAAGTACAGTTGAATCATTTCTAACATGCTTTTTACTGCAAGGGCTGAGGCACAAACTTAGTTTAAGTCTTCTTGGCCCATTCTTATTTTTAAAGGAACAGAATGAGGTGATAAAGAATAAATCTCTGTTTCCCAAGATTCATGGAAAAGATGGCTACAGCAAAACATTCAACTTCAGTCAGTGAAAAGGAAAGAGAGGAGATTCCCCTGAACAAATCTGTGTGCTGCTGCCAAGTCTGGTAGGATTGATGAATTTAATATCAGCAGCAGCTTTACCTTTTCAGCTTCTAGCCTCAGCCAGCAATATCATTAAGGATGGCAGGAGAACTAAAAAATGACCAAACCCATGAATAAGGAATTACTTCTGTGCAAAGTATTAACTCAGGCCCAGCAAGCACTTGGATTGAGGCACATCCTAATTAGATAACTCAGGTGTCAGCCTACTTATCACACCTATCCTTTAACTGGGAATTAGAACTTCAATAACGAGCTGGAACGAGTTTGTTACAATTGGAGCTTTACAGAGTAGGTTTGAGAGCTCAAGATGATGAGAAAAATCACTGTAGCAAAAAAAGTACAAACTAAACCCCAACAAAAGCCCACACAGAATCACACAGAACGTTACAGGGATGGATGGGACATTAAAGATCATCTCATTCCACCTCCTGCCATGGGCAGGGGTGCTTTCCACTAGACCAGGCTGGTCAAGGCCTCATCTCACCTTATGCTGATTTAGTACAAAAGAGCATAAAGACGAAAAAAAATAAAAGGTAACTGAATTTAGAAAGTAATTCAGGACTCCTAATTGCAAGTTCAGTATTCCTAAATATTTTACTGCAAGATAAGCTATGGATAATAATATTCCATTTAACCAAAGTTGTAATTAACCAAAGCTGTGATTCAAAAGCAGCTGGAATCTAAATCACGCTGCCAGGAGCTCTCCACTTGCACTGCTTCCTACTCCTTAGGTCCCTGTTCTTCCACAGAGTGAGCACCACCACAAACCACTGCCAAACCCAAAATGGGACAATGGCAGAACATTTCCCATGCTACAAAACCAGGGGATCCTTTCTTCAGCAGAGCAGAGAAACAACAAATCGGCAGATTTTTCTGTTTAAAGGAACCCATCTTGCTCGAACAGCACTGCCTGGGATCATCTCCAGGTTTTCTGGCTTTTTGCACCAGTGGTCCTCAACCTACAACCGCTCCCTGCCGCTGAAATTAGAGCAGTAGAACAGGAGATTCCAGTCACTGCTGACACCTCTGCCCAAACAACTCCTCCAGACACAGCTTAGAAAATAAACTCAGCCCTCCCTGTATCTCCTCAGAAGAGCTGAGCTCTGGGAGCCTGGCTGGAGACAAGAACCATCCAAGTTACAAACCAAGCTGAGGACCGATGCTGTGGCCACACAGAGCACCACTTCCCACAAGAAATAAAAGGCATGAAGGCTCATCAGCACCAGATTGTGTCCCACAGACGTGATCTGAGGAATGACTGGAGCACTACTCACCCTCTGCACAAGCATCCTCATCCTCCTCTTCATCCAGAGCAGCCTCCTCTGCGTGATGCCTTTCGAGTGCTCTGTAAGGAGGTGGCAGCTTCATGGGAGGTGGAGCCCCATATTTTCTCTGATGGATTCAAAGACAAAGAGTTACATGTTTTGTAACCTCTAAGCACGTGAAAAAAGATCCCATTGTCTGTTGCACTGAATGTGCACAGACACAGTGCTTAATTACAATGCTAAATTCTGCAGCAAAGGCTTTTTGTGCAAGAAAGCAGAGCAAGAAGTAACACATCAAGAAAAAGAAACTAAAACACAATTTGCATGCACATTTACTTGTTGATAAAATACTTTTGTATTGTCATAAACATCAAAGTGCGAACACTAATCAAGGGTTAAAAAACAAACATTAAATTATAAATATAAATTATAATATAAATATATTATGTTTCTTATAAGACTCCATAACAAAACTGGTGCTGATAAACATCAATTTAAAAAAAAATATAAAATAAGAACTCAATCCTCTTAGTCCATACATGAATATTTAAACATCACAGTCTGTCTGTATTTTGGCGCAAATTCAATAAAGATTTTGAATTATATCTCCCAATAAAATTCTATTACCTCACATAAATACAGGCAGCTCCTATAATGATGCATATAGCGGCGCATGGCAGGAATACAGAGCAGGCTCTGAGGCTGGAGGAGGCACTGGCTCAGCTCAGCAATTGGTTTTACAGCTCCAAGGAAGCGGGTCCTGCCTTGGTGTGCACCACGACTCCACTAAACGATGCTCAGCTGCATCCCCTGCAAGCCCACTGCTAACAGCAGGATGCACTTCAGAGAGGGAACACCAGGGAGGAGATGCCATTAGAGCACCCACAATTCCTGTAATTAATTCCTTCTGTGGCTGGGAAATACGACACAACACCCAAACACATCAAGCCCAGGATAATGTTTGGGGTTTTTTTTCACCGTGCGCAATGAAAGCCGAACCTGTGTATTGATTTTTAAATTCTTGAAGTTGAATTTGTATAGAGTGGTGCAAGTAGTGAGCTGCAATATGTGGAAAATTTTGAGAGATAAAGATATCTGTCATCTCATCCATTTAAAAACCTAATGGGAAAGTGATGCAATGAACACAGAACAAAATAATAAACGGAATTAATTCAATCCACCAGGAGCAAAAGTGTGTAGTGAGAGCACTTGGAAGCACAACAGCTGTTTTCCAAAAGGATTTAACACACTTATCATGGTGCCTCCCACTTTTTTCTTGAAGCCAGCACAGACAGAACTGTGCAAAATCCAGATGATCCAGGAAGCAAGGGAGGACTTGGGTTCTACTTTACTGAGCAGGTAAAGATGGAAAATCTGCGGCCTCACTCTCAGCTGCCTATGACAAATGAGTCACTTTATTATCGCTGTAATTTAGTAATAACTTACAGTCTAAATGTTGACCCTTTGGCTTTTTAAGACCTTAAGCATTTGTTAGAAAGTCTGTGTGAAATTACACGAGGCACCCAGGCTTACCCAGCAGTTTTCTATGGCTCAGGGGGACAAATATCTCTTATCCCTCCTGTCCCACTGAAAAGCCAGATGAGAAAATTTGGACTGGCTACTCCATTACAGCAGGTTTTTGTATCAACACAGGGGCAAAAGCACAGTTCACACAGCCAACCAGCAAAATAATGTTGACATCTGGTTCATCCACTACTGTTTTAAGTGGTTTTATATAAATTAAAGTGCTCATTTTGAAATAAACAGATCAAAAGAGGAGGATAAACGCCAACAAATCAGAGAAAACCTTCAGCATTTGAAAAGATAGAGGAAAAAGCAGATTTTCCAGCTGGATGTGGCTGCTTTCAAACCAAACTCTTTTGTGACTCTCTGAAGACTGGACTAGAAATATCACTGATTCCCCATAGGGATGTGGACTAATAATCCACTAATAGCAACTCTTTCCAACTCCGAGACGGCCCCACAGAAGGGCAGTACGACTGCTTTGTGAGCCCGTGTTCAAAGCCAAAAAGGAGCTACACATTTATGCACTGAAGCTCTTCTATATTCCACCCACCAGTTTATAGCAGCAATAGATGAAAAAGGTCTGAAAAAGATTAGGCTCCCTCTTTAACCTCGGAACGCCGCAGAACGCGACACACCGGAGTGCTGGAGATTAAAGGCAGCACGTTGCCAGAGGATGAGAGCTTTTGAGATTAGAAATATAGATAAAAAAAACACAAGAAAAGGGGATTGTAAGTGCTTCATTGGAACTATTATCCTCTGGCATGAAAGCATGTCTTCAACACCTTTTCTGATAACTGAGCCTCGCTGCTCCTGTCCCCGACAGGATCTGAAAGGATTCTTACAAAAACTTTTGGAGGTAAAAGGGTCTTCTCAAGTACCCAACGAACACCAGAGTAGGATCAAATGGAAACTTCATCCTATTTGTAGTTAAACTGCACCAGGCAAAAGTTACTGTCTGCATTAATTCTGTCTCTGCTCCTGCTGCTCTCACACCCTCAAAGTACCTGAACTACACTCCTCAGTCAGGGCAAATCCCACAGGAAAACACCAAGGCCATGAGAGCGATACAGCTGAAAACGAAAAATTAATTTTTCCCATATTAACGCAAATCCCCTGTTTTCTACCAGAGTTTTTCTCTTTCAAAGCTGCTGTGAAGTTATTTGGAAGACACTGTGCAGTAACTGCCTCACCATTAGCTGAGCAGCCACAGACCCCTCAGTCATCTCCTCATTTTACACAGCTGTGGGAAATGCAGGAGACACCGTGGATTTATTTCATCATCCCGTAATGTCATTTCACTGAATTTCAGGCAGCCTCACGCTGATGGTATTATTTGTGTACATGTTGCCATTTCTCTGTTTCTGCTGAACAAAGGGAATCAATTTGCCTCCACATGGAGCAAACCAGGTACTTCAGAGAGATGACAGTGAGGAGCTGTGCTAAGTACAGGGTTTCAGCACCCAGCAGACACCCACAGAATAAGTGTCAGAATATTTGGCAGGAATTTGGCAAAAAGGCATAGAATCAAAGGTATTTCAACAAAACACTTCAAATTTAATTTCAGACTTCAGAGGAAGCTTATCATAGAGTTAGAATACATGCTATTATACCATTTGATTTAGTAAAACCTGAGTACAGCACTGAATGGAATAAATACCTTATCACTCTTATTTTCTTTGTCTGCATCCTGATCTTTGCTGACTTTGATTCCCTTAGGCTGGGCAGGAGAAACCACCTGAAAACCAATGTACATTACCCTCATTAGACAGAGCATTATAGCTGCAAAACAAACATCCAAAATCAGTTCCTGACAATGACAAAGCTCCCCAGTGCACTCTGCATTTTGCTCCATGTAGAAGGGCACGGCAGTGCAGTCTAAAAATTGCATTCTTTCACTAGATTTACTGAATTACATTCTTACATCAAAAGTTTGGAGTTTCTGTGTGTACTTCAGGCAGGTAGAATTGTATGCCTGCTCTTACTAAGGCTTTAAAAAGTTTCTTTCTTTGGCCTCAACGATGAGGAGATGCCTCAAATTTCTTGAAAATTAACTTGCTCCCAGGTAACTACTTCAGATCCCTCTGGTGACACATTTCACAAGGAGCTGCTGGTGTGAATCTGACTCATTTTAATTACAGCTTTGTTCCTCTGGATAACAGAGTTTATTTCTAGATTATGAAAGATGGACAAATTAAAATGCATAGGGGCCAGACTCCTGCTACACAGGTGGGAGAGCTGAATTACCACCTAGTCAAAAGATTTCCACCTACTCCATGTAAATCAGAAAAATGAGGTTTCCAATCAGGCCAGAGAAGTAATTAATCAATCAATTGGTCTGTAACTGACAGAAAGGATCCATCCTTGGACACAAAAATTGATAGAGCTGGCTGAAAGAAATTTAGCCAAGTTTAAAGTAAGATGCATGTGATGCATTTACTAAATTTTGGAATAAAAATAGAAATAAACTTACTTTTGGTACATTAGTCAAACCCTGGACTACAAACACCACAGGATTTCCTGCATTCTTGATGGCTTCTACTGCTTCCTCGTGGGTGGCATTTTGTAGGTCTACCCCAGAAACCTGACAAACAGTGTTTATTTTTATTAGGTACAGAGTCATTACCAGGCATCACACACACTTGCAGGAGATTAGTGTATCTGAGGAAGGCATCAAAAACAGTCAAGAGTTATTATTTGTAAAGTATGTTTCAATGATGGTTTAAAGGAAAGTGTATTACTTGGTATTCACAATTAAAAGATGGCCGTATGTTGCCCAAAACAATTCCTGTAGATAAAAACATAAGAAATAAAGTTGTCAGAGTGGCTAATGCCTTCAGGTTTTACCTGTTTGTAAACTAAACCTGAGCAGCACTATCAGCTTGGCACCCCAGATTCTGAAGTATTAATTTGGAGAAAAATGAGTAAAAAAATTCAGCCAGAGGTGAGAGGCAGGAATGACATTTTCCCCCACAGCACCTGCCAGAATCGGGGATTTATCCCAAACAGTGGTTATCAGTTAACTACTCTAAATCCACACACACAAAATAACAGCCCATAATTCAGTATGAGCTGTCTGTGTCCTTGTATATATTAAATTTATGCTTATAGATATGCTATAACTTGTTCCTCATTTGTATGAGAGGAGGACACTCCCATTTTTTTCACTTCCCCCTCAGACAACAGGACACATCTTTTCTTAAATACAGAGGAGAATGTTAAAAGAGCTCCATAGTCAGACCTTAAAAAAGAAACACCACCAGAGGTTTCCTTTGGTTTTCAAAACACTGTGTTGTCAATACTTCACGAAGTGGTGGCAGTATTTTGTTCTTCTCTCCACCCAAAGCTTTTTGAGTCAATTTTTATTTCTTAGACTAAAGGAAGGTTTATCTCCATTTACCTCAAGTATTTTATCTCCAGTTTTTAAAGCTCTTGTTCTTCCTGCTGGGCTGTCTTCCAAAACTTGTTTGATAAAGATCCCTTTAAGTTCTTCTCCATTCTTCAGGCGCTTTATGACAGTTTGTCCACCAACAATGCTGATTCCAAGAGACACGTGAGGGTCTCTGAAGATCTCAACACTGAAAAAAATATGTGGTAGTTTCAAGAGCTTCAAACAGGTTTTTTTTTTTTAAAACTACAAATGCAAAGGCTTAAATAAATGTAAGCTCCTGGTCTTTCAAGAAGATTTAACAGAGTAAAGAGATAAAGTCAGAAGCCTGAGAATGCTCTCAACAGAGTTGTATTTTCACCCTGAGCAGATCCCACCCCCACAGAAAAAGCAAAATTCTGCTGCCAATCCATGCCCACTGGGCAGAGGCTTTTATTTCAGAGAAAGTCAGATCTTCAAGCAAACACTCATCCTCTTTCAGCTTGAGCAAAGTGTCTGGGAATGGGAAGCCCTGCAAGTGGCACGTTAGACAAATAATGAAGTATTTCATACTACTTTCTGAACATCGACTTCAGTGCATATTCATCAGCTCAAGCAGGAACTTTCTGATCATATTTTACTTGGGACCATAAAAACAATTCACCTAAAAATGTTAACAACACAACAAGGATGTGGCTAAGAAGTTGGATTGGCAACTTGGAATCTTGCCATGGGGGTTTTACAGGGATCCCGTGGAAGGGGAGACAGCAGAGCACCGTGTGCATTGTTCACACCTAATAGTTATTAAATGAGCAAGAACTTGTAGGTCATCCTCAACCTAAACCAGCCAAGCTTTCCCAAGTCAGCTGTATAAATAGAAGGCAGAATTCTGCTGAACATCTGTTAAAAATTCCCTGTCTTCAGGAAAGCCCAAGGTACATAGGTACCCTAAAGTTATTGGCAGAGGAGGAGAGAAAAAAAAAAACACCCAACAAGAACTAATGTGGCTCACAGAAAAAAAAAAGACATAAGGTAAATGGGAAAGAAATAATGTAATCATATGAACATACGTCCGTGGTGGTCCCCAGTGGCTGAAGTTTGGAGTTTCTTCTCCTTCTCCTTCTTCCCTCTCAGGTAATTCACTAATTTGGGGCAGAGGGGAGGGAAGGAATAAAAAATAAAAGAGGTATCAGCCATGCCAGGTCACAATTCCTCACATATTTTGTATCTGGCAGTGAGACAGCAACACCTTCTCACACTGCCCAGTTTAAAGCAAATGTACAGAGTCAACAGACCAGACAGGAATTTTTGTATTTAGGTTTAAATGTACTTAAGGAATGCTCCAGAAATAAACATGATGGGCAGACCAAATTTATAAGCTGCTCTGTGATACACAAATCTGCACTGCATTTACTCATTCGAAATGACTATTTAAGCAATTAACATTTACTTTCTGATAAATATGCTGTGATGCTTAGAGAGGGATATAAACATGCCAAAATGAGTAAGCAGATCATGATCCAAGTGGGAGAACAGATCCTGTGTGTTCCATTAAACCCTACGGAATAATCCTCTCACCTGATTGCTGAGCTGCTTTCCCTCTGAGAGAAGATTTCCGATGAAATTAGGGAAGTACTGAGGATTGCAGTCCCCAAAAGCTCCACTACCCACTGACCCCAAACTGGTGGGGAAAGACTGGGACAGGTAAGGCAAATATCCACAGCCAGTGCCAGCTCGAGGTTTCTCAGCACCACAGGCAGGACTAAAGCTTCCTGCAGAGGCCTGGGAGCCCTGGCTGAACTGCTGTCCTCAAAAGGAAGAACAAGGGGAGGGGAAAACCAGGAGGAGAGCTCCTTAAGGAGCCATGAGTAAAGGCTACATCCCTCTCCTCCAGGCCACATCCACACTCCCCTCACTGTGGAGTGGTGGCAGAGCCATTTGCATGTTTCTGTCCCAATACTCAGGGGAGGAAATATGGGAAGTTTTAAGGTTTTAAGCCTAACTCCATCTCCTGTAAAAGCTACAACTGGCACTTTATGTCTATCTGAGCATTCCACACAGACTTTAATCATGATTCAGCTGAGTGAAGCAGGAGGGCAGTTGAGATCATTAAATAAATGTCTTTCAAAACCTGAAATCTTCCTCCATACCTGCCTGATGTTGTTCTAGCCTGAGCTAAGGTTGTTACTCTCCCAGAGTTCTCCTGGTTCTTGGGAAAAACATATTTCTCCTCTTTTAGTGTTTTCTTTCCAATTGCTTCTGAATCAACAGCAAGCTCAGGTCCTTTGGAGTCTCTCTGAAGCTTTGTCCCTGAAGAAAAAAAGGGGGAAGATGTGACCTTTTGCTTCCTCTGTCCAGGCACCCACCACACTTGGAATTAAACCCTTTATCCCACCAGGCTCCAAAGGTGTTCAAGGCCAGGCTGGACAGGGTTTGAAGCTCCCTCCTCCCAAGCAGGGAGCGCCACTTCAGGCAGGTTGATAAATTTATTTCTCTGATGAGTCTACCATATCCTAACCATCCATCTGTGCCCATCTGACAAGGAGAAACTCCTGAGAACAGATCACAAAGCCAAGATATAATATAATATAATATATACCACACAGATCACTTGCAAATTTCTGGCTGTGCTAAAGTCACCTCCAGAGCCTACCACTTTATTTCTGTATTTATTTTATCACTGGCCAGATTTGGAAGAGGAAGCAAGATTATAAAGCTGAAACCCATTTAATGCCAGACTGTCTTGAGCCTGCAGAACTCTTTATTTGAATATTTTCTCATTTGAAAGTATTTGTGTTTTGGTAAAAAATTTAGATTTGTAAATTTTTTACAAAATTACAGGATAAAGAGAAACCTTCTTACAAACCTAAATCCATCTCACTTTTCACTTCTGACGGGGTAGTTTCTGTATCAAATATGTCTTTTTGGTAGCTGCTGTGTGCAGTGTTTCCAGAAAAGTGTGATCTTATAGCAGCATTCTCTTCACACTTCACAGAGGAGAAAAGAAGTAATTAAAGTTAGAAAGCAATGGTATTAACTTACACAGGGATATTTGACAGGAACATTAATTTTTACAGCAAACACACACATTTCCTCAGCTACATTCATATTTATTCAGGTAACTATGAAATACTAACTGCTCATTTAAATACTATCTGCTCATTTATGCACAGCATTTAGAAGAGGCATGAGAAATGTTATATGCAATTGAAATATAAAGCAACTGTATCTTTCTCCTCACCTCTAATTCACACAAAAATTTCTTTACTCTTGCTCATTTGTATTTTATAGCTAACAAACATTAAATAAATTTCATATTGTGCACTCTGGTATAAAACTGTCAGTAGAGACTCCATTTTATCTGTTTATATACATATCGCTTAAGGGGACAAGCCAAACAAAACCTGAAATTCTCTGTGGCTGTGATGTCAAATCCTTTTCCACTCCATTTTTTATTTTCATCTAAAAGCACACACACCTCATAAGCTGGTGCGTGGAAGGCTGATAATGCCACTTTTTTGTTTGGTAAGGGGATGAACAAAGAATCAGAAGGAAAAAATAATTCTCAGTACTTGAGAAAGATGTATAAATAAGAGTTCTGCAATTTACCTGAACCTGCATCCTCCTACTCCTTTATCCACCACTATCTTTGCCACAGTTCCCTCCACCATATCATCTTTTACTCAACTACATAATCTGGCTGAAGGAACTGATTTGGGCTCAAAAAATTGAGGAAAAGAGGGAGTTTCTTTCACTGAAGCCCCTGACTATCAAACCCATAAAGTGACATTCTGCTGTTACTGACATGCCCCATATCAGCACAGCTTCCAAAAAAACCTACACCTACAAGTTTTTAGGTAAAAAGACAAATTCAGGATGCCTGTAAATACACCAACCATATATTTCATTCCAGCAGGCAAATATACAGACAATAAATTACCTAAAAATCCTCCCAAGATGTAGAAAAGAATAGACTGGTGTCTGTTAGAGGTAAACAAGTACCTCTAAGTACTTGTGATTTATTTACAAGTAAATAAATCAGTTAAATTCTACTAATTAAAACACTTAGAGAGACTCCTGAGGGTTTAGTTTTGGAGTCTGCTCTGAGGGATCTGTGCTCAGCACAGAGACCAGCACAGCATTCCTTACCATCTGATCTTTACTGAATGGATATTCCAGGGACTCTCTGGGACTTAGGCTAACACTGTGTCTTAAATCTTGTTTTTCAGCAGTCTCCAGTTGCTTTGCCCATTGTTCTGTATCCAGGTTCCAGTCTGAAGCTGCCTTCTCTCCACCTGATGCATCAGCACATTTCAGGAAGTCTGAATCCTCTTCATACTCCTCATCCACCAACATTTCCCGTTCCTCCTCCACGTCCTCTGCTCTGGGCTTCAGAAATTCACACATCTCCCAGGACTCCTTCCCATACTCATCATCCTTCTGAGAAAGCTGAAATGACCTTCCCAAGTCCAAATGTGGCTCATCAACGAGTTCCTCTTTAAAAGGTACCTCATCTCTGAAACCCTGCAAAGATCATTAAAGGAATATAAATTTTACAATGTGTTTCCTCCCCACTCTTTTAAAGCTATGCTTTATTTTTTGCCCACGTTAAAAGTACATTCTGATTTTTAAAGTGAAAATCTTCTGCATTTTCTAAAAGAAAACAGACTCTCTGACTTATGATTTTAACACTGAAAGTATACAGTGTAATTATTTTTTTTTTTCAATATAAAGAAATTTAAGTCACAGAGCTTAGATACTGCAGCAGCCATTTGGAAAAACCAATCTGGACTGAAGTTAGGGAATGAATTTATTAATTAACACTAAAGCAACTATAGTTGAAAAAGGACATATAAATCTAGTTAAAGTATCTCTGTGCTTCAGACATATCTGCTGTTGCTTTATGAATGCATGAACATTTCTTAAAATGCTATCAGCTAAATAAACAGCCTAAGAGTTTGCTTATGCAACAATGTCAGCAACTTAAAAAAACCCCAAAAAACCCAAATAAAAGGCATACTTGCTTGGATATTCCATACAACTTCTAACCTGTGGCAAAGAGGGGAAATGGATGACAGACATACCCAAAATAAAAGTATATAAATGACTGCTCATTACCTTCCTGTTTTAAGGAGAACACTGCTCACCTTTCTACTGAACTCAAACCACAGAGCAACAAACCAAAAAAACAAACAACAAAACCCAGGGAAAAGGTATTAAAACCCACTCTGAAAGATCTCACTCAACACTTCTTTTTCTGGGATTTGTCACGTGCTTCCCCAGCTTCCAACAACTCCTGTTTCTCCCAAATGGAATGGGGTGCTATTCATTGGCTCACAGTGAGTCTGCACAGGCAGTTGGGGTTTTATGTTTTATCCCAGAATTTTGCCACACACTGAGAGCTTTCCCCCTCTTTTCTTCAGGCCACCAAGTCTCCGTGGCCTGAAGAAACCCCAAACCCAACTTCAACACCCCGAGCCCCCAGACTCCGAAACCAGTGGAAAAATTCAGGGCTCCTTCCTCAAAATGTTTTTGTTTCTGCTTCCTGCCCCTTCCCAGACTCCCCACGGCACTGCACCGTTCCTGACCTTTGGTGTCAGGATCCTGTTCTGTTACATTTGTACAAATACAGAAGAAAGCCCCCAGACACTGCCAAGATGTTTGCATAATTCAAGTGAGAGGCACGAGAGAAAACAAGAGAGAGGCAGGAGCATAAGGAAACAATGCAGCTAATAGCTGGCATGAGAGCAGAGCACCAGCAATCCAGAAATTATCCAATTTTATTAATTTAATTAGCATTTAATGTCCCTTTAATCCATTTGATCTGTGTACCTGAATCTCACAAAACACCCAGTCTGAAGAGATCCTAATTCTCTCCATTTTCACTTCATTTCCCTTCGCTCCTGCAGCGTTGTTCTCCCAACACTTCCCCAAGTCCAGGGCACATAAATCAGTTGTCTCTGCTCAGAACCACACAGGGTTTGTGTCCCTGACCCAGCAGTTTGCTCTGTATCCTCCCTGACTGCTGCACTGCAGCACCAGACACCACCAACAGCACAGGGAATGCTGCAAACACGACACTGAAGTCCACTCTGCCAGCAAATAAAATCCTCAAATTCCATCATTTTGGGGTTGAAATTCTGGTTGCCTGTGCCTCAGAGTGGGAGCCACCAGAACACACCACTCCTGGCTACCTTGGTGTGAGCAGGTAAGATAATAAATGGATGGGAATTTTAGCTGCAACCAAAGCCGTCACACATGAGGTGAAACAAAATGCAAGTAAATTCCACTGCGGGTGTTTTGTCCAAATTGATCATTCCAGTTTCAGGACTTTAAGATGAAATATTTTCTTTAAAAATACTTGATGACATTGGTTTTATTTAGGAAATAGAAAACCAATCTGAGCTGGCAGAAGACAAATTCTCTGCAACCCTTCCCATGCCCCCAGAAAACAACAAATGCCATTTTACATTGTGAAAATCAGTAAATAGTGTTTATCATCACCCAGGGTAATTTATTCGCAGTATACTCACATATATTTTATACCTTATAATACTCCTCCTTTTGGTGCTTCTAATCTACCATTTAATTTCTATTAAAAATAGAGAGACAGGTACACATGTTCAGCTACACGAAAATCTGGAATATATTTTTCTTTCTGTGTTGCAGTTCTGGATGATCCTTTATGTGTTGCATTTTCTGGTATTAAAAGAATACATTTACCAGCACGGATTTTGCAAAGCACTTGAGAGCAGATGAAAGTTAAAAGATATCCACATCTCTCTAGCTCTGCACTGGTGAGAACTGCAATATTATTGCCTATTACCCTGGTATCTGAATTTCTCACTGTCTTAAATGCCACATCCTCCCACAATAAACAGAATTATTTCTCAAATAGTAAGAAAGAGGAGTGTTGAGGCAAGAGTAAAGAAATCACTCCAGAGAACATTAGAAGGCTATGAAGAAGAAAGTATTTCAACAGTGCCTTACACTCTAAACCACCTTTTTGTTTTGTTTCATGATAATTAAAAGCATTCTGCTTCCATACTTTACCTTCTGTGCAAAGCTGAGCCCACCACTTCTGATTATAATAACAACACAGCATTCCTATTTCATATCCAAGGTAACCCAAGGTATTTTAATGACATAATAAATTTGATAAGGCAGTCTGGGAGCTGCATTGGTAAGTGCTCCCAATGCACTTGGCACAGTTTGCTGTTAGAAGCTTTTTCAGAGGGAATCCAATACTTTCAGTCTTCTCTGAAAAACATACTGTATTTTTCACTTTAAAACATAATTTCCTGTATGTATAAACTGGAGTTGAACCTCAAAAGTAACCAAATACCTGTGGTGCTTCAAGTATTATTGGGAAATTTGTGTTATCTATTGGTTCTGGAGATCCAGGGCTGCTTTTGATGCTGCTGGTTTCCACACCGTGCATGTTCTCCTCCTCTCTGCTTTCTTCCTAAAAAAGGTAATCCAAACAATGAGTCAGGAAAACAAGAAAAAAAAACCAAAACTTCCACATCTTTCAATAAATTAAAAGGGAGAAGGAGAACAGCTACTAGAAAAGAATTATAAAAATAGAAGGCCAAAAATTGAGAAGATGAAATCACCAGCTTCTATTCTTTGAAGATATTGGTACAGAGGCACTAAAACCTAAAGAGATGTGTAAGAAGGAAGGACAAATACAAGGATATGAGCAACAAAATACCAATTTTTAGAAAAGGAAATAATATATTTAACAGCTTTCCTACACTCTCCTCTATCACTTTGAATTACAAGCACTTTCTATTAACTGGGGCTTTAATTAATTTTGCCTGGGTGCCCTTGATGAACAATACTGCAGCATTCCCCAGTAAACTACTGTTCCAAAAAAGGGAAATTCTGCTTGAATTTACAGTCTTGACTTCAAACAGAGCAGATTTCTTTGATGTCAACAGAGCTCAAGCAAGCACTCAGCAGTGTCTCACAGAGAAATGGGTTCCAGCACACGTTTAACTGGGCTGCTGAAGTGCTGGAACCACGTTACACCTGTGCACAGTGCACATGGGTCTGCCCAGGCACATCTCCCAGCTCCACGTGGATGTTCTTGAAGGATGCTGGTTTCCCAGTCACACCTTTTGGACACTGAGCTGCCCATTTGCCAGAACTTTTGGTCCTCTCCAGGCACAGCAGCTCAGCTGTTTCCTAAATGCACACGTACCCGATGCTGAATTCTCCCCACAAACACAACAATATACGCCGTGGGATGAAATAAGAAAAAAATACTTAAAATCAGTTCTTACCACTAAAGGCTTGCAGATTCCAAGGGAAACTGTACCTGGGGGCACAGATTTCAGCACTTCCACTGCCTCTGCCAAGGTGGCACCGTCCAAGTGTTTCTCGTTGACGAACACCAAGCGGTCACCCGGCAAAATCTGCCCCCCGCGCTCGGCCACTCCACCTGCCACCAGGGAGCTGATCACGATGGCTGTTCCTGCTGGATCCAAGGGATCCTGGGGGAAAAAAATGAAAAAAAAAACACCCCCAAGTGAAGGCCTTGAAAGATGATGTTTGTTTGGAGTGTGTAAAGAGCACTCAAGCACGTTCACCCTCTAATGCTACGGGACTGAAGCCTGCTGAGTTGCTCAAAAAACATCGTCTGCTAATAGTGCCAAGGCTTAGAGTGTGCAAAAAGGAAGATATTCCATCACTTGCCTGATCCATTAAGAAATGTTAAGATCTGAAAGGTGACCGATAGCCTGCCTGCCCTCTCCTTACACACACACAGACACAGCCAGGCCAACCTGCAAACAGAACAACGCTGGCAGCCTTCCACCAGCCTCCATCCAGCCTGGGACGTGCTAATGTCACAGAAAATAACCACCCTGCCCCTCACCCGAGGGCTTCAGAGCAGCGGGAATGGTGGCAAAAGAAGTCGCTGCGAAACGTCAGAAATTTAATTCAAAATGTTAAGTTCGAATGAAACCCCCAAATATTGAAGAAATAGCAGCTCGTGTCTGCCGTGTTACTGCAGCGTTTCTGCTTTGTCAACTCCACGTGGAAACTTAGAAGAGACATTTTCTCCACCCTAACAGAGACCAGGAGACAGCAACAGAAGATTATTACTGAAGGTAAGGAACATTGGATACAGAGAGTGTCAAGCACAAAATATTACAAACATTGTAAACCGATGCAAAGATATCCTCTTCACTTGATCTTTTATCCAGTATTAGCTTTTGCTTTGTGTCCTGTACCATTTCTGTCATGTCTTCACTCATTAAAAAAATTATTCTCAATCCAATAAAATTTTAAATTATTATATATTTGTAAGAAACATGTACAAAACAAATTTATGGGGTTTCATTTTTTTTTAAATTTTTGTTTCCTCATTTTTTTTTCTAAGATTGCAATTAGCCTTTCTCCCCCTTGCTAAGGGCTCATAAAGTTCAGAAATGCCCCTTGCATGCACTGGGTCTCTAAATCCCCAATTATGGACTATTTTTCCCTCAGGACTTGCATCTTATTCAGGGCATGGGAGGGATAAGAAAAGGGCAAAATTCAAATTACAAAGACCACCATGAATTCGGCACCTCAGTGTTAATTTGAAAACAGGAATGCTTTTTAAGCCCTTTATTTTTATATGACTATACACTGCCTTCCAAGGGCACGTGTTTTTTAAGGTACGTGCAAACATATGAGGCAATGCCTGTAATGTCTGTAAAAGGCTGAAATTAGAGAAGTGAAATTAAGAGTTCAGCAGGAAGAGCCACGCTGGAGCTGGAGTCAAGTAAATAAAGATCAGCAACAATTCTCTCCTGTTCTACCGCTCGATGCTGCTCTTTTACAATTTTATAATTTTACAATTTGTCTGCAGTGCACACAAGATGTCTCCTCGTGGCTGTCATGTCCTGGCAGCCAAGCCCAGCAGGTTTCCTGTGTTTGCCTCCCGTGCCAAGGTGCTCCTGCTGCCCCAGTGCCCGTGCCCAAACCTGCTGCACCTGGTGCTGAGGGAGGATTCCCTGAGCTTCCAACAGCATCCCCTCAGGAGATTTTCAGGAACGAACCAAAGCCCAGCAAGTTCAGAAGAAGAATCCAAAAGGGATTCCAAAATGTGAAGGGAAAAAAAAAAGAGCTTTGCTTTAAGTGTTGAATGTAGAAAATTGAAGTTACTGCTGCCCTTTGTTCTTGCCAGCAAACCCCAACCAGCCCAACGACCCTGGAACCAACACAGACTTCTAAATCGGTTTTAATTTGGGGGTTTCCTCCACTGGAAATTAGAAATAACCTTCTGGACATCTCTGCAGACCCAGGATCCAGCCCAGACAGCCACTTCCCAGCAAGCAAGGCGCTGTTCACATTAGGGAGGCTTTGCTGGAGAACTAAACCAGCAAGTTTTCCTATCGTGGGCTCATCTTGCCGTGGCCAGGGAGGTTTATGCTGGTTCCCTGAATGGGTGAATGCTCTCTCAGCAAAACAACACCTTTGCTGACACAACAGCTTCTATAATATGACTTTTGCTGGCTTAGCTATATTGATAAAAAATGAACAAAACAAACCCACCATTCACCCTTACCCATGCAGATAAGCTGACAAAAAATTCTGCGAGTGAAAATGACTGGTCCAGTAATTATGGTGCTGCCTGAGAATGGGGCAGAACCAGGTTCAAATCTCTGCTCATCTGATCTAAATCAGTTCTCTTTTGGGCTCTGGATCAGAACTACTTAAGCAGGAAATGGGAATCTCCCCATTAGCTGCTTCATTGCAGGGTCAGTGGTCTAACTACCACATTTCTGATGAGAAACAGTCCTGTTTCAACTCACCACTGAAATAAAAACAGTTTTGCCCAATAAATCATGTTTTGGTATGAGATAATTTAGCTGGAAGAAGTGTTCCAAAAGGAATAGAGTTCCTGCAAAGAAACAGCTCTAGGCAGAGAAGTTTTGAGGACAATGTGGTTATTTCCCCTGCCTCACAAAGCACACAAGCACAATCCATACACTGGAATTGCTTCCTGAAGAGCAGCAGAAACCTTAAAAAAGGGGGCCCATGTTAAAAACTGCTGTTCAGGCAAGTACAAAACAATTCCACTGATGATTTCAAGCAGAGGGAGCTATTGTACAGGGAGAGAAGATGAGCTGCACAGTGAGAGCTCAGCAGCAGCACCAGCAGCGCTCAAAACCTCAGGGTTCACCAGTGGCTGAATCATGATGTGATTGCAGCAACAAAATTTGCACAAGAAGGCACAGACCCACTGAATTTCAAGGTGTGATCATGTATCCATATCCTCTCTGTAATTTAATATTCTATCACAATGGTGGATTGCGCTGTGCTTTCCTTATCAAAACCAAAGGAACACTGGGATTTTTTTGAAACCTTGCCTTATGTTTTACCCTTGACCCTAAGCACACCCTAAAGAACCACCTGCTAAAAGAAGACAGCAAACACCAAATTCACATTTTCTAAATGGTGAGCAACTGGGCCGTGAGGGCGGTTGTCTTGTTTCTGAAAGAAAGCAGTGCTTGCAGCAGGATGAAAAACAGATCCTTTCCTTCCAAACTAAGTGCAAAAGGTACAGCTTGTATACAGTTAGTATAGTTAAAAGGCAAGTTCACTCCCACAGTGGGATTTCAGGGCTGCCTCCATGTTAACAGACCAGCTAGAGCCATTCCAAGTTACTAAAGAGCACCAGTGTGAGTGCACACCTACCCTGAGGCTCTTGACTCATTTTACTTGGCTTATAGTGATTTTTAGTCACCAGCAGGCAGGACCAGGTTTCAGCCTCTACTTTAAAGTGAAGGCTCGTTTACTGGGATAGGGTTTGCAACTCTCTCCCCAAACTCAGAAGTGATACAATTTCAATATTTCAAGAAATTATCACCTGGCTTTGCAGCAGGGCACAAGGGGAGTGCAGTGGACAATCCCATGCAATCTGGCCATGTGAAAATGGGCACAAATCATACAAACATTAAGACTGGAAAAGACCTTCAAGATCATCACGAACAGGCCTTGGCACATTTAAAGAGGAACTTTTACCTTTCCTGAAGGATTCCTTTACACCAATGAATCATTTATGAACAATGAGGAAAAGAATCGGACTGCAAAGCGGGGCCGTGAGGAGACAAAACCCCTGAAATCCAAAGATCTTTTTCAAGAGAAGAATGACATGTGAGAATGTTTGCCACTTGTGTAAACTCTGAGAGCTGCTCCCTGCCATGCAGCAGCAGCCCAGGACAGTGGCCTCCAGGTTACCCCTTTGAGGAACTCGTGCACTGTAGCTGCTGTCCTCCCCTTTGTGCCCGAGCCAGCCACGGATTCTATGAACTTGTTTAAAATAGCCACAATTTATTCATACTTAGCACACCATATATTTAACTATGCTGAACCATAGGTTTTCCCTTCCCCCCCCTCCTCATCAAAACCCACAAATGTTTCCCAGAGTCCAGGTGTCAAATTTTTCTCCTTCTTTTCAGAGCCTCATTTGTTCTGGATTCATTTAGCAGTGGAGAGTCAGGCAGGGGCCACTGCAGTTGCTGCCTCTGGGATCCCTGGGTTCGGGGCAGTATGAAATCTCTTAAAAACCTGAGCCCTGCTAAAATGTTAAGAGTCCCAGGAGTTAAGAGAGTCCTACGTGCACCGCTGGATCTGCAACTTCATTGTGGCTTCGACTGCTGTGGGCACCAAACATCCACACTCAGAAGGCCTTAGAAACAAATCTGGAGACAGAACCAGTGCAGCTGACCTCTGCCCATCCTGCTGGGAAATCAAAGTGATAAACCAGGCTGGCTGTTCCCTCATCCCTGAGGTGTGCAGCAGCCAAGAGAGGGCACTCCAGGCCAGCCCAGCTCCCACCACTGCAGGCATTCCCTGCTCTGACAATCCATCCCCATCCCATCCATCCAGCCAGCCCCAGCAGACCCTCTCTGGGCAGAGGATGAGGAGCACTGAAACCACAGTTCCACTGGATGGGAGCAGCTCCCACGTTTGCCGGGGTTTTGTTTGTGTTTTGCTTTTTTTAAAGGCTCCTATGAAAATGTAAGACAAAGCTGCGGGTGACTGACATTCCCTGTGCAAAGTCACTCTCACTTAGTTATAGGCTATATTAGTTTTGGCATCACTTGAGATCTAAATCCAGCTAGCCTGACTTCCTAGAATATTTCAGCTTTCTTCAAGCAACAAACTGCCTGCTGCCACAAAAACACACATCCAAAATAGCATGGTGAAGGATCCCAAAAGAAACAGTTTGAAACTTCCCCCCCTCCCCCCCCCGTGCCATTTTTTGATTTATCTGAACATTTTTACAAGTGCCAATTTGTATACTGCAGGTTTCTGTGAGGGAGCCAAAACAAACGCCTTGGAGCTCAGAGGTCAGAGCAGCCCAGATTCATTACATCTTGCATGGGACCACTTCCAGGTCTAGCACACATATATCCATATTTAAAACTCTTCAGTGAGTAAGATACCAGGCTGCAAGACTCTTAGACACAACTCTTTTGATGCTGAACAAGTAAAAGAC